GTCAGTGTCTTCAAGGGAAAACCCAAGCTGTTCATCAAAACTGGGTCCCGTCCGTTTTCAGATCCCCGGCTAAAAGCGAACAACTTGTGGGTGAAATGGAAACGCCACTACTAAACCAACTGAAAACAACTAAAAACGGAAGAAAGCGGATGGCTGGGAACCATCAAGAGAACAGCCAGAGCCTTTCCCTATGGATCTCAGGCAAGCCACTAGGTAATCCTTCGCCACTTTCCTTTTGGCTTTTGAAGGGTGGTTGCCGAATGGTTACCTACGCAGGTAAATGGAATCACTGGGTTTGTTTGCACGTGGCTGGTTTCCAGCTTGGAGTTCCTGCAAAATGGCCCTTGCATGAAAGAAACTTCCAACATAATCACGCGTTTTAGGTGGGAACACCTTTAATGCGGGCAAGGGGATGACTAAACCCAAATGGGGAAGCTGTGCAATGTGTAATTTACTGTCCGCCAACTGTGATCAAACCCTCGGTACCAAAGAGGATAGACCCATCCATACCCTGTGCGGATCCCATCCAATGTGGGGTCTTTGATATTTGGGGCCTCTGCCCCATACCCAGTGCTAGATTTGAGTCACAATCAAAACATGGCACTAAAGTGGTCTACCCATATCATAAGTCAAGAGGGTGAATATCCGCCGATCTTCTTGGTTGGGGCTGTCCCTGCTGCAACCAGTTGGTCGATCAATCCACTGGAACCCGTTTTCAGGGGTTGATGGTTTCTAGGTTCCAAACCTACCAAACAAAAAGGGATGCAGAGGAAGCCACTGCACAACTGGAGAGGCGCGCCAGGCTAACAACTGAGGCTGCTACACATTGCTCAGGACAGTTGCTGCCTGACCTCGGCATCCACTCGAGGACCTGTCTCTCTGGGGGCAAGGGCCACCTCGTGGCAGCCAGGAACTTCCCCTCCCACCCCAAAGCGCACACACACACACATGTGCAGGAGATCGCGCACGCACCTTGCTGGAGCGGCTTCTGGTTTGCTGGTGGTGAACTTCAGAGCTGAGGCACTTCTCTGCTGTCTCAGGTGGACATCTTAGAGGACGCCCCTATTGACACATTTTTCAAAAGAGGGATCACCTTTGATTTGGTATGGTTCGCAAGATCTATCCGCAAATGGGAGACTTAACCCCATGCCGCGTGCGAGCCGGGGCTGTTCAGAAACTGGTCCCAGGTGCCGCCGGTACTGCTCACGCCGTGCCGTGGATACCACCGGTTATCAAGAAACACTTTGGTCTATACAAAATCTGGGCGTGGCTCAACATGAAAGTTATCCAGGTTTCAGGTGTTGCTCCCACTACCAGGGTACAATTTGGGGTACCATGTTTTTGAGCTTTGTTCTTGAAGTTCCAGGTGCAATTTTAGGGTGCCGTGCTTTGAGCCACGGGTAACTCTTGGTGAGCCTCTGGCGGTGTCCTGGGAGTCCGGGAGTCCGGGCTGCCCCAGCCATCACAGCAGCTCTTCCCCTGAACCGGCCGTGGCGTTGTTTGCGACCGAACGTCCCTTTGGTCTCGACGTGTTTGGGTCTCCTCCAACAAAGCGACCTTTGGCTTCTTCGAAAGAAGAGACGCTTGCTTTTGGAGGAAAGCCCCCTTGTTGGGTTCCTCAAAAGACATAAGTTGACACATGGTTTCCTTGTTGGGGTTCCTTTGGTTCCGTTTCCGTCCGTGGGATTTCCCACCTGATAAACCACTCTTCAGGTTCTGACTCTTAAGATTCATAGCCAGGGTTTGTGTGGGTTTGCTGCTGGTGTCCCTTCAAACCAGCCTAAACAAAAACTAAGTGGTCTGATTCCCCACACCTAGGGACACCCCCCAAAAACAAATCATTCTGGCTGATTCATCCGGGGGTTCCCCCCAAAAAACATAATAATCCTGTTGTCCTGAAGTTTTCCATTTCCTCGGACGTCAGCTGGGGGGGGAGTCCACTTGACCCCACGCCTGGCTTGCCGCCCATGCCCTTTTGGTTTCCCTAAAATTGGAGGTGGTCCAAGGGGGGGGAAGTCCCTAGGCTCTCAACCCACCCCTCTTGTACCTAATTCCGCGAGTGCGATTCCCTTCTTTGCCATGGAATGGGGAGGGGGGGTTCTAGGAAACCCCAAGGAACCCTAGCGAACCCCAAGTTGGAATCCTCGGATTCCCGAAACATGGGAGCCGTAAAATGAATTCGAGGGAACGCCAAGGAACTTTAAGGAACCCCAAGGAACCCCCCGTCTAGCACCCTTTTTTGTACCTGCACCAAAAAAAACTCCATGCAAATTCCATATGTTGTATCTTCCCACAAATAAAACTCCATACAAGTTTCATATGTTGTATCTTACCTCAAAAAAAACATGTTTTACAAGTTCACCCCACAATTGTGTTGGCAAAATATGGAATTTGAACGAAACCCATGTTTTGTATCTACCCCAACAACATATTTTACGAATTTCCATAACTTCCACCAGCCTCGGAGAGCGCCTTCCCCCTTAACCGGCCTGGGAGAAGCCCTTGATACCCACCACCAGCCCGAAGAGCGCCGCGGAGAGCGCCAGCACCGAGAGGCCCACGTCCCAGGTGAACTCACAGCCGTTCCTGAGGAGTGGTCTGGCAAGGGTTTTGGTACCCTGCAAATACGCCCACTGGGTATTGACCCCAAGACACATTTCCGGATAAAACCTTTCAACCATGTTGGGTCATTCCCCAAGGGTGTAATCCGAGGGTGTCATACAATGGGGCTGGAGAGGGGGGCTGGGGGGGGGCTAAGGGTGGGTGGGGTAGGGTGGCGGGGGGTGGGGCTGGGGGTGCCCGAAAGTTTTATGTTGGGGGGAGGGTGGTGTTCTTTTTCTGGGGTACCCCCAAGGTGGGTGTTCCTTTTGGGCGAGCATGATGACAGAAACAGTATGAATCAAGTTCCGAGTCCAAGGATCACAAGGCTTACACCCCAAGAACCCTAAACCCTAAGGTTCCCCACCCCTTGACCCTTGAAACACCAGAAAATAACATGGTGTGTTTTTGAGGGGTGCTCTTTTTGGGTTGATTTAAATATTCAAATGGACACCAACAACCCAGCGATTGCTGGGTGAATCTCCTTGCGGCTGTCTACACCATGACGATCCCAGAGGTGTCAAGTGACTTTTGGCTATACGTGGAGCTCAGTTGATTCATAGAACCCTGTACTAGTGGCCCACCACAATCTCTAGTGCCCGCCCAATAAATATATGCATAAGACTTAGAGGAACTAGGGCAGGGGCTTCTCGGTTGCTTTCTGCTCCCCTGCTGGAAGTTTAACTTCTGGTGGTTTAGTGGAAAACCCATTAGTTGGCAAACAGTTAAAGACCTAACATCCAGCAAAATGCACCAAAGGTTTCCAAAAGTGGGTCACGCACCCTCAGGCTTCCATTTGGGCACATCAACAATCTAAGGCTAGCTATGTACCTTGTGGGGGAACTAAGGAACTCGATGCATTTCTCTAGGGGTTGATTCCCCATTCTTTTCCACCATGGTTCTTTTCGGCAACCAGCTGTTTCCCCATGTTTTTTGTGGTCTTCTAGAAAGAAGGATCCCTGGAAAGAACGGGGCAGCCACCCTTAGAATTTCACCGCAACTCACCAAAGCTCTGCGGTTGCATGTGGGTTGGTTCACTTGCTTTCTGCAGGATGCCCTGTCGGGCTGGAGCGATGCCCTGCCGGTTTTGAAGGCTATGAATGGAGATGGGGATCATCTGTTTTGCTTTGTGGGGTATGGGGGTTGTGCTCCCTATCTGCCAAAGTGATGGTTAAAACCACACCTTAAGGCGACATGGGGACATATGGGTGTCGTTCTTAGCCTTTGTCGGGGTTCTTCAAAGGGAGAGTGAAAGGACACCACTATTTTGGGGGGGTTCCCCTGTTAGACAAACTTGGGCAACGATTCCCCGGTTCCAAAGAAGCACCGAAAGGACACGTCACCCATTGTGAGAGGTGTCCGAAGCTTAGGCATCAAAGCAACAGAACTGGAGGCAAACACATAGAACCCGAAAACACAGGTCCAGCAGTCCAGCAACAGGAGATTCCTCGAAAAAAAAGATTGGGGATCGAGTGAATCTGGATTGCATGTCTTTTTCAGGAAGTCTGTCTTTCAGCTCGAGACAATTCCACATGTGGTTGATTTATGTGGAATGCCAATTGTTTCATGTTGACCCGGACCAAAAAAAAATCCGTCCAACAAGAAGTGCCCCCTTCCAGAAGTGAATCCCCACTTTTCAGCTAGGGACACCCTTTCAATAATAAACTGGGGTTGATTCATCCAACGTCCCAATAGGTCCAACATACTCCCCAACCTGGAACCGGATGGGATGTCATTTGGCCATGGGTCACAATCCAAATCGGTTACCCCCCAGTGAACATCCCAATCCAACCACTAAAATAGAGTAAAATGGGTGGTGAATTCACCTACCCCAAAATGGGGTCCCATTCGTTTTGACAACCACAGCCATTTGGCGTTACAAGTGAGCCCAGGTTGCAAACATCCGTTCGTTCGCTCCGTACAAAGTCACGTGTTGCTTGTAATGTTGACACCCGATTAATCATGGGACAGTCAATACTGCAAATAGTTGTTCCTTACTATGGTTCGCCTTCATTGTTGTTTGGGACCAGAATAACTGAAAGTTTGTTTTTGCCTGGGGGGGGGGGGGAATTCAACAAATATATTCACAAATCCAAAATATCCACAAATTGTTGATGGTGGCCCACTTGCTTACAAGCATTCCCCTTTTAATTGGTTACTCAAACACAAAACCCAAAGCCAGCTGAAACCTCTGAAAATTGAAAACCATCCCCAGCCCTGAAACTGCAAATTCTTGATTAAACCGTGATTAAAAATGAAAAAACAAAAAACAATCAGGACAAGGGTACCCCTCACAGACCCCACTGAACCACAAAAATGGCATTCTTTAGGGGGACCACATTCGTTGCAAGCCCCCAGCCCCCTCCAGAAAATAAACTGTCAGTTGCTTTACTCAAAAGCATTCCCCTAAAGAATGCCATTTTTGTGGTTCAGTGGGGTCTGTGAGGGGTACCCTTGTCCTGATTGTTTTTTTCATTTTTAATCACGGATTAATCAAGAATTTGCAGTTATTCCAAAAAGGAAGTGGCTGCAATACTAAAGTAGAATTGGGCCCTAAAATCCTCCATTGTTTGGACGTCCCAAAAGTGAGCCTACAGAATTCTAGTGCCTCCATTGTTGAGGGGGGGGGGGGGCCCTTTATTAATCAAGTTCCAACATAACGCTGATTTTGGGGGAAAGAAAAACGAGGGCACCCAAGCGGCTTGACAAGAATAGCTTTTGGTTGACGGATGCTTGCGAACATTGGAAGAAGCCCTACTTAAATGGGAAATCAAATCGCGAGTGGTTCCCATGGGTTGAAACACCCCACGCTAACCTACTCACTTGTTAGAACAACTGGCACAAAAGCATATTTCTAAGATATAAGCTAACAAAAGGAACCCTCCCAAAAGCCCACGTCCAGGGATCGATCCCGCATGGCACATCGGACGACTGAGTCGACCAAACCCCGCGCCAGTTTGTCCAAGGTGCTCTCCGCACATCCCGAATTACTTGCAACCGCTCTACAGGGCGCGGCTTTTGTATATGGATATGCGACAAAAAGGGATCAGTGATCTGAACCCTCTGAGGTTCATTGTTCTAGCTTGGTTCCACTTTAAACTAACCCCCAAAAGAGTACCAACATGTACCAACTCCAACCACAGGTCAAATATATCCATTTACATGCCTGTAAAGCTTTCTCCGCGCTCAGGAATGCCCGTTCTGACGCCGCAAAACTGATCCGGATTTTGTCTGGATAAAGAAAATAGGCCTGAGCATCTTCCAATGTGGTTGCTCTGTCCTTCAAGTCTTTCGGTTCGGCCAAAGAAATGTCCGACCTTTCCCGGTCTCGTCCAGCCCCGCGTTTTTCGCGCGGCCGGGACGTTTCCGAGCTGTGAAACGGCACGGCGCGGCGGAACTGGACTTTCCGAGTTGGAACCTCCTCAAGAGCGGCTTGACATGCATCCTCACCGAATTCTGACGTCCAAAGGGTTCCGAATTAAAGTTTACTTAAGCTATCTCCAAATTGAAAGCTGCAAACACGGAATATCTCTGTTTAGGCTTCTTATTGCAGGGTCTTATGGAACATATTCCTGTACTTTGTGACTTTCAGGGACGGAAGCCTCCCTTACACAACGTGGCAACCTAAAACCACCCATGCAAGCCACAGCAATCTGGGCAAACATTCTCTCGGAAATGAGAAATGGACCCACCTGAACCTTCATTATGAGTGACGTCGCACCCCCCCCATCCCGGGAACCTGACCTACTTGGGTCGAAACCTCAAAAACCTGGAGCTGTCTGGCGGCCGCGGATTTTTTTTTTTTATCTTCTCCGCCGCCAATGACTTAACCTGCGCAGGTTGAGGTGTGGGCCCAACAACTTCTGCCCGCAAGGTGTGGTGCCAAAATGCACTCACTTCCAGAGTGGATGTGCCAACAAAAAGCCCACACTTGTTGTTTGCCACTAAAATGGTCTTACCAAAAAGCTCGAAGTCCAGGAACTCAGGGAGTGAGTTCAATCAAAGTGACATGTTCATGTCACCCTTCAGAACTTCAGGGGACCACATCATGGGGTCGCGAAGGGTCTCGAAAGTCTTTCTGCGCATGGCTGCAAACCAAAAAAACCAAGCACCACACCATTGGTCGAATAACCTGGTGCGACCCAATGGATGGGTTCATGCTCACGACCTTACAAGCCGATGGCGCCAAGATCCAAGGTCTTGGAGAGCTGCAACGAGACACACGAGATGTTGACAAGCTCCGCCAAGTAGATCCAGGGTTCACAAAAAACAAGTCTGACCTTGGTTGCTTGCGAAAGTCATCCACCAGTTGACACATTTGGATCAGGTTAGAAGTTCAACAACTCTTGGATGAGAAACTCGATTTTGCTACCTGCCACAGGAGATGAAAGTCACCCAAGTCTTCCACCAAAGCCTGTGGTCTTGTCCTTTGCAACATTTCCTGTAGTTGGGCTTCTTATCCAGGGGTGCTTGTACATACCCCCTTTACATACCCCTTGGACACATGAACCCAAAAGGCCTGCTGATTTTCATACCCCTCTCCCCAAAAGGGGTATATACCCCTTAAGTGGGGAAGCCAAGGGGTTTGAACAAGGCTCGGTTGCCTTCTGCTCCCCTGCTAAAAGTTTGCTAAAAGTTTAACTTTTAGTGGTTCAATTGGAAAGCACATTAGTTGGCAAGAGTTAAAGTCCTAGCATCCCTTGGCAACACGCACCAAAGAAGGGGTCTATACAGAGATCCTTACATTATACACCTGAACATTGCAACTTGTAAATGGTGGTTTCCCTTTGGTTTGGTGGACAAAACCATGTTTTAAATGGTTGCAACATAGAGTTTTTTTAAGGAGCCCCGATGTACTTCCACCTTTAGATCTTAGAGTTTTGAACTTCACCTCTGCGCGTCGCACGTCTCTCGCCTTCTGGCGGATCCCACTGCGTAGTGCCCACCATCGGGTCCCAGTAGTACTTGGCACCTCGAAACGATCCAGCGAAAGCTGGGCCTACGCGGTCCTCCAGATTTGAGAGGTTAGAATAAGTTGGTGCCCGTTTTCTTCTTCTTCTTCTGAAGTCGATTTGAGTAGGGGAACCGAATCTCCCCCCAAAAAAGAAACGGTGAAAGGGCACTACGAAAAAGCTAGTCTATGCGGGGTTGGTTTGGGTTTGGCTTTGGTTGGCCTCTGGGCCTGTGTGGGGAGTTGTGCGGGAAAAATCATACAACTGTCAAATTCATTGGTGTGTTTGATCCGCATTTGTTTGGGGAGTGTGATCCTCACTGTTTAATCAATCAGGATCTCAATCTGTGTAACCATCCAGCCAGTGACAGCTTTACAAGACAATGTCCGTGCTGGCAGAGTCAGGTCTCTATTCCCTGAGATCTGTAAGGTTGCTCACAAAAGTAAGTGCCTCCAAGGACGTTCAGCATCAGCATTAACAGAAAATCAAAGATCCGCAAGTGCAGGACCTTCATCATAGTGAGATCATGGCATTTGCCCGGTCAGCTTGCCATAAAATCGGCAGAGATATGTGGCTGTGTTTTTGAGGGTCCCTTTCAGGTTGGTCGAAAAAGAAACCAAAAGGAAAGCCACCATTTCTGGGCCGTCCTCAGATGCCCTTTTCTAGGCTAATTGGAGACACTACCACTAAACCAACCAAAAAGCTGAACATCTAAGGGGATGGCTGGGAACCACCAATATTTCTGGCCTCTCCATATTTTGACACCACGTGGCTGAACGCGAAGTTCAACCTTGAGGTTCCGGCCGTCGTCGTCCAATAGCGACACCCAACCTGCAGCTGAGCTGAGCAACTCCGAACGAGACAAGATGCGGGTCCGGCTGAAAATAGGGGACCGGGGCCCCAAGAATGTATGGCTGCCTATTGGTTTCCCTTTAAAACCAGAAGAAGGGAGGTTCCCCAGAAAAAGGACACCCATTCGCGGAACATAGTCAGAATTCCCAAGGGATAAGCCGTTGTCGCTGGGTGCCCCTTCGCCTTGGTGCAAAGGAGAATCAAGAGGCAAACCAGAATTGCTGCGCTTTTTTCTGGATGTTTAATCGTTTTTACATGGCTATGGCTTTCACTGGGTAACCACCTCCAAAGCGGTTGGTGGACATGAATACTGTCCACCAAAGGGCCCATTGAAATTACTGCCGTCTTCAGGCAAGAGGCTGTGCGGGAGGAGGGAAGAAACCTCCCTTCAGACACATCGGGCGCCCAAAAAAGCGCAACCCTGTTTTGGCTGGGCATGTCCTGTTCCTGTTCCTGTTGGCGCAAAGTGTCTTGTCGCATGCACGAATTAAGCCGGCGACTCCATTCAGCCAGCGATATCCGGGCCTTGCTCAGACGAGAGCTTCATGCTCAGGCGCTCTTGGAGCAGAGGGCCGGGTTGGGGCACAACTTCGGCATCGTTGGCAAGCCGAGCGCGCGCTGCAGCATGAAAGCACAACGCAAAACCTCTGCAGAGGGCGGAAGGGTATTCCTTGAGTCTGGCGGTGCAGAATTGTCCAAGCTCATTTTTCCCGATGCTGGAGGCAAGGGGCGGGAGTTGGGCAATGGGGGCCTTGGTGGAAGCAAGGACCCTTCTGAAGTCCGGGAGGTTGCCCGCAAGAAGGTTAGTGGGTTTCATTGCGCTCTGACCTCTGCATGATGAGGTGCTGCTCGATGCCTTGCAGCTGCTTAAGCCACCTCAATAGGAGCACGCGCCAAACGCTCGGTGCTGCATCGCCATCAATGTCAGCAGGGTGCTCAAGCACGAAAGAGCCACTGCTAATGAATATGGCAACGATTACAAGAACGCAGCTCAAAAGCAACTTGTTGCCAAGCTCAATTTCATGGAGCTCGCGCTCAGCAAGGTGCGGGAGGCACCAAGGCTGACGGCTTGATCGCAATGGCCGTGGCCCACGGGTACTCAGGGGTCTTTCCCTGGGACGGGGCCAGCTCCCACAGGGAGGTCCACCCTGTAAGGCAAGATGTATCAACTTTTCAACAAGTGCAGGGGGCCCTAGATCACAGAGCTGGTGGTGCACCACATCAAGGCAAATGACGAAAATGTCCAAATGCGACCTTGAGTTGAGCTCTGAGATATGTTGCCGAAGGCTGCCTTCTCTGCCAGAAAAGAGATGCGCAACAAAAAAGGTGGGCCTCCCAGAAACTTGGAGCGCCGGGCAAAAGCGAAGTCGGCTGCATGGAATTGGTAGGACAAATCGTACTCATGCATGGCATCAAGCCTACTGACATGCCAAGCGGGGTCGGCAGGGGTTTCCTGCGAATTGGCTGCAGCTGCTCTACACTGAGCATCAGCATGCCAGCAAGTCATGGTTGTCGGTTGCGCAAGATGATGTTGAGCAGCTCCGGCAGCATCCTACACATGCCAAGTACGTACAGCTGGCTCAGCCTGATCGAATTTGCTGGCTCCCAGCCGAAGCGCTGGAAACAGGCCATTGATGTTGCTTGTGCCGCTGTTAAGCGACGCCGCAGCATGTTTACTCAGCGAGCTGCGTTCCGAAAGTGCTTCAAAGCATTGAAGGCCGGCGCGCGCATAATTGAGGCCAGCCCGTAGCTGTCAGCACACCCACCTTTGCTTGCCCTCATTGTGATGCCACTTTTGAGGCCCGGAAGCCCCTTGCGCTCCACATGCAAAAAAGGCATCAGGTGCATTCCGATGTTTGGCAGTTCTGTTATGCGACCCGCCGTGTAGTTTCTTTGCAGGAGCATCACTCCACCCACAAATTGCATATGCATCTCAGGAGGCACCCTGCTTGTCTCAACTTCTGCCAGCGGTTCCTTATTCCCCTTGATGCCGGTGCTGTTACTACTGTTCCGCAGGGCAGCCGATTCCCTACGTTCAATTAAGCGGGCCCCGGCTTCCCACTACGTATGAATGGAGGGAATCTAATGCGCTGAGCCCACCGAATTCTCAAGCAGAGCGCCCGAATCCTGCTGTCGAAATGGGGGGGCCCGCATTCCAGAGGTGGGCTAGATGCTTCGAAATCTTGGCACTCATAGTCCCGCCCAAAGTCCAGCGAGTGGACTTTGACCCAAGGTACTGCACGTCAGAGACCTGAGGGGCATCTCCCCAGAGACCAAAGACTTCACTTCTGCTGGAAGGAGATCGCGAAACGTGGCATCGTCAAAGCCAGTGAACTCTCGCAAGAATTCCTTGTTGAGAATCTGGGTGAAGAACCTGATGAACCCAGGACAGCTCATCTTCCAAAGAGTGAGGCATTCAGGAGCCGTCAGCGCGGCCCACAAACTGACCTTTCAGACCACCGAAGGCATTCGCTCCGAAAAGGAACTGGGTGATGGATTGATTGCGAACTTTCCATCAAGCTTTGTCCCGCACAGGAGTGCGACAACTCGACCCAATGCTGCAGTTCCCCAAAGGGTTGTAGCCCCCAAAATCCTGAATCAGGCCTTCGAGAAAGCTTCCGAAGTTCTCGAGCATCTTGTCGACATAGGAAATGACGACCTGTCGCAGGGAAATTTCAACTTCCTGTCTTTCTCCTCCGGAAGAGGGGAGATTCTCAAGGACTGTCCTGTTGTGGATCAGGTTCTCGAAGTTTCCTCGGGCGGTCAAAATCCGAGGTTGGATCACTTGAGGAGGCTGTCAATTGATCTCCTCATCGAGCTCGAATGTCATCAGCCACGTGGCAAGGTCCTCAGCCTTGCTGCTCTGTCAACTGCTTGAGATCCTTGCTTGAGAATGCTCAAGATCGCCCCCGGAATGCGAGGGACAACCACACCATGAGCGGTCTCCATGAAACCCGCGATCTGGGCTTCCGTCGCTGTACGGACCCCCTTGGTCCCATCTCACCAGGTTGTAGTCCCTCAGTCCGGCCGGGACTGAAATCACCTTCGTCGTCGGAGCAATGAGCTCCTGATAGCGAATTATGGCAGCCCTCGAAGAAAGACTGCATCAGCTACCTCCAGAGCGGAGGGTTCATTGCCTTTGCCGGATTTCCCGGCAGATTTTGATTTCCCTTTCATGATAAGGGATGTGGTCTGGCTCGCTTGAGCCAAAATGGCTGCGGAGGGGCATGCCCCAAACGAAAGTGCTCCAAATGATTCCCCCTTCAGGCCCCTAGTGTCAGGGCCCCCTCGTCTGCAAATGCTGTAGTTCTAAAACCTGAAATGAGACTTGACTACCCAAGCAGAGGACCGACGCCCCACCCCCAACCCCGATCACAAAGCTCACCATGATGAAGGCAAAATTATCAGGCAGACTTGTCCTTCAGGTTCGGCACATATTGGCCAGCGAAACATGTCTTGGAATCGAAGAAAATGCTTAGGGCTTCTAGATCCAAGAAGACAATTGGCTGGTTCCTTCTGCTCACAGAAGGGATTGGCCAAGGTTGATAGGGGGCTGTCCCCTTTTAGCCTGGATTCAAACTACTGTTAGGGGGGGCCCCACCAGGCCCTCACCCCCCATTTGGACCGCTTCTACTTGGATTCGGGGTCAAAGGGCCTAAGGAGCTGGCTGACCGCGTCCCTCACACTCAACCGGTGGTTCTCCGCAAGGGAATCATCCCTTGGGGCTCCTCCGACTAGGGTCCTCCGGCTTTATTTGGCCATGGGTCAAAATCCAAATCGTACCCCCGGTGAACATCCCAACCCAACCACTAAAATAGGTTCTAAAATGGGTGGTGAATTCACCTACCTCAAAAATGGGATCCCGTTGGTGTTGACCCACGGCCATTTAGCTGTCCAACCTGCGGCCCCGCATTTCAGTGCCCCGGCCTTCATGTGGCAGGTCCCACTGCGTATGTCCCGTGGCGACCTGGGAAACGAAACGAAACGTTTTGACCTCCCGAGAACTTCAGTTGCTGTGGTAAATGGGGCATAAAACCCGAACTGAACCAGTGGAACCCATCTATTGTTAACCAAACTCACCTCAAAAGGACACCTGTGCCTCGAATGCGATCTGCGTTGGGATTTAAGGATTTATCCTCCCACTAACATGGAACCTGACGGGGGGGTCCAAGATAATTTCCCTTTTAAAAGGGAACGCACGTCAGGTTCCATGTCAATTGCTGAGAGGGTAGTCTAGGTCCTCCAGTAGAGAGGTTAGAATAAGGCTCCCTTTTTCTGTAGTCCGTTTTAGTAGGGGAATCCTCCCCCAGAAAAGAAACGGTAAAAGGGCACTACTGGGTGACCTGGTAGCGACATCGCCTGCCCACATCCCGCTGCCGAGTGCATCGAGATTTGCGAAGGGCCTCGCAGTAGTACCTCTCATTGGCTTCAGTGAGGAGCTCCTCCCACCTCCAAAGGTTCACTCGATGGGTCTGTCGATGTTCTTTTTCGGTGCCCGAAGTTGCTTGTTTTTATGCAGGAAACTGAAACCAGCAGGAAAACCACAGTACAATGACAAGGACACCCCCCAAAACGGATTAACATATACATATAACTCTTTTTTTCTTTTAATGAGGGTGCCCTTTTTGATTACCTTTCAAGGGAAGCCCGAAGGAACACCACCAAACATGGACGGGTTCCCACTTTTTGGACACATACCCCAACATGTCTGCAGCATGAATCGGCCTTGGCCAGTTCCTGGCTGTTCCCGGGCCCAGCGAAATACCCCGTGGCCCAAAAGACAGGGTGCTCTGAACGAGTGGATGGGCCGAAGAAGTCCACAGTGCTTGTGCCCCATGTGCTCAGGGACTGAGCCTACATCCTTCACCATAGGTATTGTACTTCACCTCATGTTTAAGGGGTGATAGAGACTCCAAGTAAGCGTTGAATTTGTCTGGGCATTCTAGACAAATAAACAGCAAGGGGGCACTGCAGGGCCAAGGCTTTAAACAGTCAATCTGCACCTCGAGCGTGCAGATAAACGAAGAGCCCCCATGGAGTGCTAAGGTCAACAAATGACGTCAGACGTGCAACTGCTTGTAGGCTAGCTGCTTTATCTTCCATTTGCCAAGTCACCTGAAACACCACACATATTTCCAGTAGTGATAGATTCCATTCAAAATCCACCAGGGGGAAATAAACAGTAGTCTTAACTAAGCAATCAATGGAAATTGTGCTAACAACGTTCACTCCCCCCAGGATTGCTACGCATCTTTGCTCATTCTATCCAATTCTTGGGGACGTCTTGACCATCGTTTGCCAGGGCATCTGCCATCATCTTAGGCGACTGCTGGTGTCTGTGCAACTTAAAGTTGGGTCTAACTTGATATGACTCCCCCCCTCCCCCCGAGTGCCATCTCCTCTTTCGCGGAAAGAGAAGCAAGGAAGGAGATCAGCCTAGTCTTAACACAGTAGACTTCACTTTGATTCCGTTTATATCTTCTTGGTTCTTGTTGATTTGTGTTCTTCGGGAAGGAGTTTCGATCAACAAAAATTCAGAATTAGGGAAAACACTTAGGAAACACAAGCCCAAATAGAAAAACGGGTCCGACATCAGATTGCGGCCAGGCAGCATTCACTTACGATTGCAAACACAAGTAGTCACTGCGGATAATTCAAAATCTTCCCCACGGCAGTATCAGTACAGTAACCATCGAGGAAAGCTGTCAGAGTAACTGCGCCAGCCGCGATTCAGGAAGCGGCGCTGGGTTCTGCTGACTGCTCGCTGGACACAGCCAATCTTGGCGCAGGCTGACTGGCCTCATGAAAGCCATTGGCAAAACCATGCAAAACAAGCTCTGTCTGCAACAAATCCAGACGACTCATACCATGATACCATCACGGTACCGTGAAACTTAAGAGTAAATTAGTCAAACGACGGCGAGAAGTATCAGGAAAGCGTAGCCGAAATGCGCAGAAAATAGTGGAAAGCCGGCTGGACAATGCCGCCATTCTTCAATGCAGCTCACGGACACACTATCCCGCATCCAGTTGGCAGGTGAACGCTCCTATATGTCAGGTATAGGGGTTCGTAGTTTTCACCTGGTGCAAAAATTTGTCCACCAGTATGGCCGTGTTGTCTTTTAGGGAGCGCCCTTTTGGCTTGGCTTGGTTTGGCTTTGAATTGCCAGTTGTTATCAACTTTCACTTTGGGCGATGTTTCAAGGCGACGCAGTCGGCTTGCCATGCCGCACACTGTAGGGCTATGTTTGTGTGTGTGTGCGCTTTTATGTGTTCCCTCTTTTTTTTTCTCCGAGTGGTACTGCCTTTTTGCAGTGGTAACGGAATACCCATTTTGGTGGTCCCCTAAAACAAAGACGAGCCACCCATGCCGTCTGGGTCCACACGATGGGACGTCTCACACAAGCCGTGCCTCACCGCGCCAGCATTTCTGGGCGCCTGGGGTGGGTGTGGGCAACTAGCTCCCAACAACTCATATGTGGCGTGCTCAAAGCTCCCTTTCTTTTTCCTGGGGGTGGACAAAATCCATTTCGCACCACTGTGAAACCATGGTTGAAGCCACTGCTTGTTGTGATTTTTCTTTTCGGGAAATCATTCTTCCAGGGTTTCTTAAGTGGTGCAGGAATTTGTCCATCCACGGTATGGCCATGGTTCCCTCAGGCCCCAAGCAAAGGAGCCTTTTGACCATGGATTTGGGTCCTCTAAATCAAATGGCATGGTCTCTTGATGAGCCCAAATGTATCCTTCGCGGGGTCCTGTAGCAACCTGGGTGATTAAAAAGGGGGTGGTTCCCCAATGAAGGACTCTACAGACCAAGGACCTAAATATAAGAAAAATAATAATAATGATAACAGGAATAATGAAACCAAATAATAATACACAATAAAACTACTAATAATAAATTGTTTTTGTACGTCTGCCACTATCAGTTTAGTAGAAGGCACCACAGCCACAGATTGACCCAGTGGACTTGGAATTACCCTCTCCAGAAGCTGGTGAACAAAAAGTAGCGGTTGTCTTGCAAGGATAAATGCGTGTCTGAGCCACAAACAAAACTTGGTACTACAAGGGTCTAGCCAAACCAATGTAAATAAATGAAGGGCGGATACCCGAACCTACTTGTGGTTGGGACTCTGTGTCGCAGGATCCTTAACCTTACCGACGCTTAAGTGTGGCTGTTTTCCCTTGGAAAAAAAGCTCAGGTGACATCCCCAACAGCATGCGGTGCTCTTTGTAGTGCTCGCACCACCCCGCAGCCCTCGAAGAACCTTGTGGAACCCTGGTGGAACCCTGGTGGAACCTTACCTCAGGGCCGCCCCAGACCACCCCAGAGCCTATCTGGGCTGAGACCCCAAAGCTTTCAGCTGTTGGGGGGAAAAAACAACGTGAGAACCAACCCAAAAATACGCGAATTGCCGTTGCATCACGGGGGACACTCTCATACATGTCTCCCCTACATGTCCCTTTTGGAGGCGGGGACTCCTATTCGTACCAACCAGAAAAATACACTACCATTGCACCAAGTGTCCCATAGATTTCTCTTTTCGGCTGCTTGTAAGAACCGCACAAACCGCCCAAAACTTCCCGAACACCGCCTGCACGGGCGGCTGGGGCTCCGCCTCCGGAGCCGCCGCTGGCTCCGCCTGTCTGCTCTTACCCCCGGAACAAAAACGTCCTCCCACCAATTGACATGGAACCTTACGGGCAGTCCGTTGCAAAGGCAAAAATAGTCTTGCGGGACGAGGGTACCTCTTGTACTAGGTCCTCCAGATTTGAGAGGTTCGAATAAGGGTACCTTTTTTCCTGTAGTCTATTGGTAAAAGGGCCCTGGGGGACCTAGGTGCGAAAAAAAGTCCATTTCCGCATCTGATGCTGTGGGGGATCGGACCTGCCAAGGTAAGCGTACTGGCCGCTGGAAAAGGGTTGGGCGAAGACAAGAAGCCAGCCCAGCCTCACACAACTCGACACACTCGCTTGCAACAGGATCAAAACTTCCATTTGGTTAAGACCTTGGACAAAAAATATGTCCAGTGTGGATAGATTCCCTTTAAAACCAACAGGGGACAAATATTCGAAAGCAAATGAAAGAACAGGTGTTGACAGGGGGCTCTGTTGATACCTCCCCCCATCTCTCCACGGACTTCATGAGGATCATCATGCCAGGATCGACACAAAACGGATCAAACATGCAATCCAAGGCGTGTAGCCAAAACCACGGTGGTGTTAATCAAAAGGTTGAGACTGTCGTATACCTTGGCCAGACAACTCCGACCCCTGCCAAAAAAATATCAGCGTCTTCCACTGCTCAAAGCTACTGTGGATGGACGAAACCCTGCACCGCCTAAAGAACCCTGGAATGATGATTCCCCTGTAAATGCCAACAAATGGGGGGGGTTCCCATGGTTTCAAAGTGGTGCAAGATTTCGTCCATCCACAGTATGGGGTGGTTTGGGGCAGCTTTCAGGGAAGGTTCCAGGGCTTCGTGGCTCAGTCTCATCCCCACCTTCGCATCTGCTCGCTGCTCTGCGTCTGGCCTGCAGCGCTGGACACCCAAGTAATCCCCAGCGCAACGGGGCTGTACCCAAGATGCTTGTGTCATGCTTGTGTCAAGGATCTGGGTGAATTATACTATTTCACCAACCTGAAGTAAGGTGGTTGGGGGGCTATTCCCCACATAAACCACAATTTGGGGTGAGGTTGTGTGAGGTCGTTCTAATTCACCCAGAAGAATGGAAGCCGAACCCCCCGTATAGGAAAGAGTTTGCACAGTAAGGAAGCCGGCATGGACTATCCATGTTGAGGGGGCTCTAGGTGTAGGCACTTGCCAATTGGTATGGCCTGCATATGTATATATGTATATATACATGAATAATATACGAACACATACATAATATACGTACACCATGTCTCTTGTGTTGTTATATTTACTGTACCTGCCACACTCACTTCTTCTCAACAACTTGATAAAGTTCGCTGCCCTCAAGCTGACAAGATAGCCGCTCCGCCGCTCCTGTGCACACAGCTCCACCAGCTCACAGAACCATCAGATGGTGAAGAAGGCGTCTTGTACTGCATGCTCAAATGGCCGTGCTTGTCAAAAATAGGGTAACCCCCAAAATGGCAGGAACCCTGGCAAATGGAAACATGGATGATTTAGCCTGAGGTCCATATCCTGTTGGTTTAATTTTGACCCATACCCAAACATGCGATCGCGTCTCACTTGAGCATCCGACATTGTGCCCAAATGCAGTGGGAAAGGCCTTACACATTGGGAGTTGCAACTTTATCACGACCGTTGGCATCTGATGTTCGCCATTAACTGCGCGAAATGATAGGATGACGTACAAGGAGAGTATCCTCAAAAGCCCAATCACCCTTTCGAAGCACAGAACAGGTTTTTGATGCGTTTGATATCCGCCTAGCGCAACACTTGTCATGCGCTGCATGCTTCAAAGAGCTGTCACAAAATGTTGGCTGCATGACGTCCTTTTCGCATCGGCCGCAAGCTGACACCTGGGTTCTGCAAGACCAAGTCCCGTTTTAAACGCAACCCCTAATGATCCAGGCTTTTGGATGTATAGCACCCCGGTAGAGGACAGAAAAGTGCAGCTTGAACTCGTCGCACAGGTGTTGCGCCCCAAAATGGCTTTGGTTTTCCTTTTGGTGTGCCTTTAAACAACTACAAGCAAAACGTACCAACACTCCGGTCATAAAATCGCCCACTCGCCGCCTCGCTGCTAGGTCCCTCGGCGGCTCTGAGGGCTCCTGGCAAATGGCCCAGACAGTTGCGCTCATCCCGCCGTTGTCTAGGGCAATTGGTTTGGTTGAGCAACGATCAGGTGACAATCAAAAACATTGCGTGTTGAACATACGGTCTGGAAACAAATCGACCAACTTGCACCAACCTAGCCTCAAATTGCAAGAATTGTGCCGGCGTGGTAGAAACGGCGATTGGCAAACTGCCATGACTGCTGATGTAACTATGTCAAGGCCAGTGCCACAAAACGCTGATAGCAACTATTATTGCGAATCCCATTCAGCAACGGCCAATGCAAAAGCCCTGTTTCAATGTAAAACTCGCAGATGATGACTGAAGTTCGACAATGTTCACCATTGCTTCCCCAAAAGGTAACGGGCCGAACAGCAAACCCACGGCTCCAAGGCGGACAAGGTCTCTGAGTCGTTTAAAACGGCAGAAGGGTGATAGGCGTTGTGACCTGGCTAAAACACAAAAGACCCCTCTTTATTTTTAGCTGCAACACACGCATCACTCCTGCACACTATGGCGCCAACATCAAGTTCACAAAGCGAATGTTACTTAGCAAGCTGGGATTGTCCAGTGCCAGGCCAATGAAAAAACGCACTTCAACGCAGTGGTACTGCCGGCGCTAGCAAAAGAGGAACCAAACCCTGTTGCTTGCAACATAGATGATGAAGTTGCACTACGATGAACCATGCCACAATATGCCATAAGAAACGCCAGTCGCAAGTTACATCACACATGATGCTTTACGTGCCACCCCGCAATGAATTCACTCAAACAATAGCCATAATTCCTGCCTGGGCACCGTACGTTGAACAAGAATCAATAACATGTCACTTGCAAGTTTACCCAAGAATTGCCAGTTGAAACCAACAAACACCGCTGCTACTACTACTACTGCTACTACTGCTACTACTACTACTACTACTACTACTACTACTACTACTACTACTACTACTACTACTACTACTACCCGCACATCCTGGAGCCAAAGCAGCATCCCTGCAACAGCAAGACTTGGGGGCTAAATTCGGAAACCCAACCACTAAACCTTAACCTTACCGACGCTTAAGTGTGGCTGTTTTCCCTTGAAAAAAAAGCTCAGGTGACATCCCCAACAGCATGCGGTGCTCTTTGTACCCCGCAGCCCTCGAAGAACCTCGTGGAACCCTGGTGGAACCCTGGTGGAACCCTGGTGGAACCTTACCTCAGGGCCGCCCCAGACCACCCCAGAGCCTATCTGGGCTGAGACCCCAAAGCTTTCAGCTGTTGGGGGGAAAAAACAACGTGAGAACCAACCCAAAAATACGCGAATTGCCGTTGCATCACGGGGGACACTCCCATACATGTCTCCCCTACATGTCCCTTTTGGAGGCGGGGACTCCTATTCGTACCAACCAGACAAATACACTACCATTGCACCAAGTGTCCCATAGATTTCTCTTTTCGGCTGCTTGTAAGAACCGCACAAACCGCCCAAAACTTCCCGAACGCCGCCTGCACGGGCGGCTGGGGCTCCGCCTCCGGAGCCGCCGCTGGCTCCGCCTGTCTGCTCTTACCCCCGGAACAAAAACGTCCTCCCACCAATTGACATGGAACCTTACGGGCAGTCCGTTGCAAAGGCAAAAATAGTCTTGCGGGACGAGGGTACCTCTTGTACTAGGTCCTCCAGATTTGAGAGGTTCGAATAAGGGTACCCTTTTTCCTGTAGTCTATTGGTAAAAGGGCCCTGGGGGACCTAGGTGCGAAAAAAAGTCCATTTCCGCATTTGATGCTGTGGGGGATCGGACCTGCCAAGGTAAGCGTACTGGCCGCTGGAAAAGGGTTGGGCGAAGACAAGAAGCCAGCCCAGCCTCACACAACTCGACACTCGCTTGCAACAGGATCAAAACTTCCATTTGGTTAAGACCTTGGACAAAAAATATGTCCAGTGTGGATAGATTCCCTTTAAAACCAACAGGGGACAAATATTCGAAAGCAAATGAAAGAAAAGGTGTTGACAGGGGGCTCTGTTGATACCTCCCCCCATCTCTCCACGGACTTCATGAGGATCATCATGCCAGGATCGACACAAAACGGATCAAACATGCAATCCAAGGCGTGTAGCCAAAACCACGGTGGTGTTAATCAAAAGGTTGAGACTGTCGTATACCTTGGCCAGACAACTCCGACCCCTGCCAAAAAAATATCAGCGTCTTCCACTGCTCAAAGCTACTGTGGATGGACGAAACCCTGCACCGCCTAAAGAACCCTGGAATGATGATTCTCCTGTAAATGCCAACAAATGGGGGGGGGTTCCCATGGTTTCAAAGTGGTGCAAGATTTCGTCCATCCACAGTATGGGGTGGTTTAGGGCAGCTTTCAGGGAAGGTTCCAGGGCTTCGTGGCTCAGTCCCATCCCCACCTTCGCATCTGCTCGCTGCTCTGCGTCTGGCCTGCAGCGCTGGACACCCAAGTAATCCACAGGGCAACGGGGCTGTACCCAAGATGCTTGTGTCATGCTTGTGTCAAGGATCTGGGTGAATTATACTATTTCACCAACCTGAAGTAAGGTGGTTGGGGGGCTATTCCCCACATAAACCACAATTTGGGGTGAGGTTGTGTGAGGTCGTTCTAATTCACCCAGAAGAATGGAAGCCGAACCGCCCGTATAGGAAAGAGTTTGCACAGTAAGGAAGCCGGCATGGACTATCCATGTTGAGGGGGCTCTAGGTGTAGGCACTTGCCAATTGGTATGGCCTGCATATATATACATGAATAATATACGAACACATACATAATATACGTACACTATGTCTCTTGTGTTGTTATATTTACTGTACCTGCCACACTCACTTCTTCTCAACCAACTTGATAAAGTTCGCTGCCAAGCTGACAAAATAGCCGCTCCGCCGCTCCTGTGCACACAGCTCCACCAGCTCACAGAACCATCAGGTGGTGAAGAAGGCGTCTTGTACTGCATGCTCAAATGGCCGTGCTTGTCAAAAATAGGGTAACCCCCAACCTGGCAAATGGAAACATGGATGATTTAGCCTGAGGTCCATATCCTGTTGGTTTAATTTTGACCCATACCCAAACATGCGATCGCGTCTCACTTGAGCATCCGACATTGTGCCCAAATGCAGTGGGAAAGGCCTTACACATTGGGAGTTGCAACTTTATCACGACCGTTGGCATCTGATGGGAGTTGAACTTTATTCACGACTGTTGGGCATCTGATGTTGCCATTAACTGCGCGAATATGAAAGGATGACGTACAAGGAGACGTAGCCTCAAAAGCCCAATACCCTTTCGAAAGAACAGAACAGGTTTTGATGGTTTGATTTATCCGCCTAGCGCAAAACACTTGTCATGCGCTCTGCTTCAATGAGCTGTCACAAAAGGTTGGCTGCATGAGTCCTTTTCGCAATCGGCGCAAAGCTGGACAGGGTTCTCAAAACAAGTTTTCCGTTTTAACAACCCCTAATGATCCAGGCTTTTGGATGTATGACCCGGTTGAGGACAGAAAAGTGCAGCTTGAACTGTCGACAGGTGGTGTTGCGCCCCAAAATGCTTTGGTTTTCCTTTGGTGTGCCTTTAAACAACATAAAAGCAAACCGTACCAACAAGTGGGACTGGCTGTTGATCCACTCGCCGCCTCGATTGCGAGGTCCCTCGGCGGCTCTGAGGGCTCCTGGCAAATGGGGCCCAGACAGTTGCTCATCCCGCCGTTGTCTATGGCAATTGGTTTGGTTGAGCAACGATCAGGTGACAATCAAAAACATTGGTTGTTGAAATACGGTCTGGAAACAAATCGACCAACTTGCACCAACCCTAGCCTCAATTGCAAGATTGTGCCGGGCGTGGTAGAAACGGCGATTGGCAAACTGCCATGACTGCTGATGATACTTGTCTCAAGGCCAGTGCCACGAAACGCTGATAGCAACTATTATTGCGATTCCCATTCAGCATCGGCCATATGCAAAAGCCTGGTTTCAATGTAAAACTCGCAGATGATGACGGAAGTTGCAATGTTCACCATTGTTCCCCCAAAAGGCTAAGGGCTCCGAACAGCAAACCAACGGCTCCAAGGCGGACAAGGTCTTGAGTTGTTTAATAAGGCAGAAGGGTGATAGGCGTTTTGTGACCTGGCTTTAAAACACAATGACCCCTCTTTAAAATATTTTTAGCTGCAACTCCACGCATCACTCTGCCACACTTGGCGCCAACATACAAGTTCACAAAGCGAATTTTTTGTTACTTAGCAAGCTGTGGATTGTCCCAGTGCCAGGCCAATGAAAAAACGCACTTCAACAAGGATGGCCAAACTTCGCAGTGGTACTGCCGGCGCGCTAGCAAAAGAGGAAACCAAACCCTGTTGCTTGCAACATAGATGATAAAGTTGCACTACGATGAAACCATGCCAAATATGCCATAAAGAAAGCAGTCGCAAGTTACATCACACTGATGCTTTACGTGCACCCCGGCAATGAATTCACTCAAACTATAGCCATAATTCCTGCCTGGGCACCGTACGTTGAACAAGAATCAATAACATGTCACTTGCAAGTTTACCCAAGAATTGATTGCCAGTTGAAACCAAACAAACCACTACTGATACTAATACTACTACTACTACTGCTACTACTGCTACTACTACTATACTACTTTATGTACTTGACCTACTACTATACTATATACTACACCCGCACATCCTGGAGCCAAAGCAGCATCCCTGCAACAGCAAAACTTGGGGGACAAGAATTCGGAAACCCAACCACTAAACCTTAACCTTACCGACGCAAAGTGGTGGCTGTTTTCCCTTGAAAAAAATGCTCATGGTGACAGCCCCAACAGCATGCGGGTGCTCTTTTTAGACCCCAGCCTCGAAGAACTCGTGGACCCTGGTGGAAACCCTGGTGGAACCTTCCTCAGGGCCCGCCCCAGACCACCCCAGAGCCTATATGGGCTGAGACCCCAAAGCTTTTCACTTGTTGGGGGGAAAAAACAACGGGAGAACCAAAACCCAAAAATACACGAATTGCCGTTGCATCACGGGGATAAATAATACATGTCTCCCTACATGTCCCGTTTGGAGGGGTGGGAGAATCCTTTCGTACCCAACCAGAAAATTACACTACCATTGCCCCAAGTGTCCCATAGATTTCTCTTTTCGGGAGGCTTGTAAGAACTGCACAAAACGCCCAAACTTCAACCGTAACGCCGGCCTGCACGGGCGGCTGGTGCTCCGATCCGGAGCCGCACGCTGGTCCGGACTGTAGGATCTTACCCCAGCCGGAACAATACGTCTCCCACCAATTAATTGACATGGAACCTTACGGGCAGTCCGTTGCAAAGGCAAAAATAGTCTTGCGGGACGAGGGTACCTCTTGTACTAGGTCCTCCAGATTTTGGAGGTTCGTTTAAGGGTACCCTTATTCTGTAGTCTATTGGTATATAAAGGGCCCTGGTTTAGGTGGAACCTAGGTTGCGAAAAAATGTCCATTTTCCGCTCTTGATGCTGTGGGGGATCGGACCTGCCAAGGTAAGCGTACTGGCCGCTGGAAAAGGGTTGGGCGAAGTCAAGAAGCCTGCCCAGCTCACACACTCGACACTCGCTTTGCAAAGGATCAAAACTTTCCATTGGGTTTAAGACCTTGGAACAAAAAATATGTCCAGTGTGGATAGATTCTTCTTTTAAATCCAACAGGGGACAAATATTCGAAAGCAAATGAAAGAAAAGGTGTTGACAGGGGGCTCTGTTGGATTACCGCCCCCCTTCTCTCACGGACTTCATGAGGGTCACTCATGCCAAGGATCGACACAAAAACGGAATCATACATGCAATCCAAGGCGTGTAGCCAAAACCACGGTGGTGCCTAATCAAAAGGTGAGGACAGTCGTATACCTTGGCCAGACACTCGACCCCTTGCCACAAAAAATATCGCGTCTTCCATGCTCAAGCTACTGTGGATGGACGAAACCCTTGCACCGCCATAAAGAACCCTGGTGGAATGTTTG